TTTTAAGGAAAGAAGGTGGCAAACTACAGTTATTGTGGTAATAAGGTTTTTACCATTTCATGCGGAATTTGGTTTAAGTGACTAATTTCGACTTTTGAAACTTCGGTTATCATTCTACGTTTCGAAACTGGAAAAGCACTGTGGGGAAAAAAGTGATCATTATTCCTTATTCTTTTCCTCAATGCTGTACTATTTCTGCTTTTAGTGATCAATGGGGAAAAGGCAGCTTTCCACTCGCCTGTATTTGCACAAAAAAGAATGCGCACATCAGAAATGCTATTAAATAACATTCTCGAGAAATATGGCTTTGAAAACAATGTAGGTCCTTATTTTTTTCGAAACTCCTAACTCATGACAGCCTCATAAACTTCAATGTAAATTGTGTGTTATTTTTCGATTTCATTTATATGACTAAATTAACGCAATTTTTCTGACCAATTTGAGAGATTGCCAAAGCTATGATGGTGGAAGACTGAGGTGGTAATTAGGAAGGAATAAGGTTAAACAGCACATAGGGTGATATTGCTCACTGAACTATCCAAGTTGGAGATTGCGTTCTCAGGAGACTGGAAAGTGCGCATTTTTTTCCCGCAGCCAATAATGATTTTCCATTGTTTCAAGCATACTTCCTTTGAATCACATGAGCTATTAGTTGACTTCACTTGTTCATTGCTGAGCTAAAAAGGTTTATTAGTTACGTTTATATGAGTAGTTAGCATCTTGCTAAAAATCGGAAGTCTTCCTTCCATAGTTTCAAAAGGGTCGCTAGTAATAGAATCAACATGTTGGTTTTCCGAAGTACGACTTCCCTCCATAAAGCCTTAATATATATTCGGTGATCTTGAGTGCGTTGCATCTACTCCTTTCTTCTAATTCGAATCTTTTGGTTCCATTTCACTTCATTCTTATTTTTAATAGCAATATCAGCCCCTATCGTCTTAGGAATAACCCATGGTTTTAAACCGTCGTGCTGCGATCACTGCCAAGGCATCGTCGTGATAAGTTTGCTGCTATTCAAATGGCGACGTTGGTTGTAGTGTTAGCAACGTGAGAAACCTCATCAAAATTTAATTCTTCTGTGTATTCTCAATTTCTTTATTCACGTGTGTGTGAATAACAATTTAATGTAAGACTAGTAATGCAGGACAAATAAAATGCGACAGCATATGCATTTGCGTTCGTTCGTTGCGAAATAGCGAACTAAACTAGAATTGACAGTTTTGTGCTCTGAGCCCGTTACGCCTTAATGCTTGAACTAATACAAAGATGGTTAGACTATTTTAGGACCTAAAATTAGGTGTGAAGATTCGACCTACTTTTTTATCCCGAAGCGCTAACGACGGCATTCATTTGTGTCATTTCTACAACAAACGTAGCGCTTACGCAAAAAAGGCAATCGCAATAAATTTTAATATTACGATACTATTTAGAGTACTGACCTCCAACGAAGTTGAGTATATTCATGCATTTATGTTGCTTCATTCAGGCGAACGGCCCTTACCGCAGAGCCTTCAGTGAAATAGTTCAAGACTCAGCGGAGAGCTCACCGTCTGCCAAAGACCCAAACCGAAATGATGCCTTTATTCGATTTGGACAGGTGAATTTTCAAGCTTTTATTGTCACTGGTTGCCATGCATTATTTCTACGCTATATACTACTTGGAGCGAAATCAGTGAGGTTAATTTAATGATTTTGTGACGAGTTATCAAAACCGCTACCTGTTGCTTCTTTACTTTTAGTTCTAGCTTGTCTAGTAAGATTACTTTATGTTGAGAGAATTGAGGAGGTTGATTTTGCTTAAACACTGAGTCCTCTTTTTGTATCAAATTCAGATGCTGAAACTAAACACAATTATTCGTGGCGATGCACCGACAAGTTGTATCACTACGGGAATATCGAAACAGATAGTAAGGTCTCTCACTTATTCTCATACCCAATGCCAAGGTTAAACCATGTTCATATACTATTTTGAGTAGTTTTATGCAGTTTCTAGCCGGTGAACGTTTGGATATTGTCAGAACGCAATTTGAAATCAAGCCCATACACTCACTGAATGCTTATGTGAACAAGATTGGGTTCTAATTTTTATTTAAATAAAGCTGTTAATATTTTGTCTGTTTTGTGTTTTCATGACCTCCAGCCTTGGCAGCCTAAACGATTGCATATGAAAGTCCAGGGCGAAATCGCCAGTGGTGACACTTGGGGTGAGATTTTCCTTCCTCTTTTGCCATCCTCACTGCCCAGCAAAAATACGGATTTCTCTGCATTACAGGCAAAGTCTTGCTGGTCTGTGTTGATGGTGGTGTCTACGCTCTCGAAGGTAGGCTCATGATGGTTTAATTGCACCATACACAATTATCGCTATGTTAGCGCTCAATTTCGGTGTTACGAGCTTGATTTGGTCTGATTTGAATTAATTGTCTTTATTACGAATAAGAACATTCCACAACTCAGATTTATGTTCCAATAACTTGGCATTACATGGTAAACCCTATTTAAATACTTCCACCATATTCATACTTTCCATGTTCGTTTATAATCGGTGCTTATGGACAGTAGTGCCACTTTTAAATGTAATAAGATGGAATATGGTGGATAAAACTCTCCCTTGGACCTCATTCCTTCTCATTCTTGATGCACGTCTACGGCCTTAAGGCTAGGAAGCATGGGAGTTTGTCTAACTCCACGGCGGGCCACAGTCCTCTTAACGAACCGTAAAGTGTTGTATTTGTCGCCAAAACCGCAGGCTTCCATTCTAACGCTGTCCAAAATTGTGACTTGTCAAAATGATATCTTTCAGCCAGTCATGTCGGTTGACTTTACTGTCAACCTCAGCATGCAATTTATGTAGGCAACGAAGGGCCTCGATCAATGACGATGGTCCATTTACACTAATAACGCCTTGGTTAATTGCTTTTGAGCTATCACTTCTTTGGTGTAAGCACAAATCGGCTGAGTCCATTAAACTGGTCTTAGGAGAGGTAACTAAAGGGTTTTGTTGGCATTCCACGGCAGTTAATACTTAACGGATTCTTTTCGATCATATCACTGTAGAGCATCAACAACCTCTTCTTCTCATTGCAAAAAATGTTGACGTGAAGCAAATCAAAGTGGCGGAGTCTTTTGGTGTCATGATCATCCGGTACGACAAAGGTACCATTAGCCCTTTATCCTCCATATCAAAACAAAATGTTGGTGACCTCGTTTAGTGGAATTTCATTTTGTTGATAGGCTAGTTCTGACGATAATTTTGTACCTTCTGTTCTGTTTTTACTGATGCCTGATCAGTGCGCCGAATTTTTTCTTTACCTATTTCTACAATGGCTGTTTTTCAGTTCTCCAAGCCCATGAAGACCATTTCTTTGATGGAGGTTGTTATTTTTAGGTCGAGAATCGCGCATCTCCGTTCTGCAGTTAAGTGATTTACCCCTTGCAGAGATCATCGACCGTGCTCTATTAAAAAAGCACATGTTGGACAGGTCAAAGGGTAAGCCAAGCAGCCATCCTACAGCGGCAACTTCTTATACAAACAAAAAATTCCTGCTCATCATAGGTTGTCACATATTCTCGACAAGTACTTCAGCAACGAGGCCATTGCGATTAGTGTTTGCCGTTGGCAAGCGACTCGTAATTTACCAATGGCAAGTGGAGATCACCGGCAGATCGTTATCTTCGTGGAATCAGTTCACCTACTCTGAGCTTTCAGCGCGTTTTGTTTTTGTTCGTGTAAGTGCTCTGAAATTTGATTACCTTTCACATGCAGGCAATCCGTGAAATTGTCAGTATAAATTTCAATTGTTGAGGTCTCATGTTAGCTTTGGACACTGAATACACCTACAACTTGTTCAAACAATTAGTCTTAAACAAGGGTGTACATCCATTCCAAGTATACCTGTGCAGAAGTATTGCCTCAGAAGTGCAAATATAGCTCAAGACCTATTGCAGTGACAAATTTGTGTGACAAATAGCGGTGCTAACTGATGCTCCTTAAAACCGCTGAGCTGTTCCTTTTCCTTAGGAAGTTCCCACAAGCGAGGCAGTCCAGGTGCTGAGCATTCTTGATAGCAATATGGGAGGTCGTATTTGCGCCGGTTACCGCAATCAATTCGACCTGCTGGATGAACGAACCGGTGAAACGCTTCATCTCTATCGAACTGAAAACGCCAAAAGTCAGCCTGTTGGTGTAGTGGAGATACGTTCCGATGATGATATAGAACTCCTCCTTTGTTTCAATCGTAAGAACATCAAGCTAGCTATCATAGAATTCAAATATATTAGCGCCGTAATCCTTTTAGCAAGCAACATTGACATTTTGATGAAGAGTAGCTCACGTCCGCTGCATTTGTTTCACATTCCATGAGCGTATCCGACAAAATTGATTCATGAAAATCTCGCGAAATAAACCGAGGTAATTGTGGAGCATTCGGAATCTGTGCGCTGATGTTTTGTTGCACGGATGAGTTGCGATCCAAAACATCAGCGTAGCTCCTCGGTACGCGAACCTCTGGACACTTTCACCATTCAATTTTTATAAAACTCTAAGGGCTAACTATGTTTAAAGGTCTCCAATTAATAGTGAAAATGTCTTTGTCGTTAAGCTTAGACAAACCGCAAAGCCCTAGTTCCCATCCCCCACAAACAGCACACGAAGTGGCAGACATCACTTGGTTTAGGAATTGTAAATTCGAGGAGACTTTAATAATCGATATTATTTTCTAAGAACGTGCCTTCAAATGACTGCTACCATATAAGGCGAAAGTATATTAACCCATTAGCTGCGTGTTGACCCCATTTACAGGTGGAATCTGATTGAAAAAGTTTCGATGCGTATCGCCTGTGACTGTTGAGGAAAACGCCATATGAACGTCAAAAGTGCATCAAAGGACATGGTGACCACTTGCTCCAATATTTGTTTGACAGCACACTACTACCGCAATTCCATAGTGCTTTGTACTGCCTAGCCGGCGAATTGGAAGTAACTCTAGCATACTTTCCAGCATACATTACACTGTTGTTTCTAATTTTTAATTTATCGGTAATTAGGCAACTGTTACCTGCAGCGGATCACGAAGAGGTCCTCGCCATTCCACAACCATTCAGATATATTCAATACCTACTCATCCATTGAAGGGATGGAGCATCAGTTCGTCGAGGGATTTGGCTCTACTAGCATGGCAATGAAGTCTTTCATGAATAGTGGTCGTGGTCAAACGGCTGCCACCACTGACTACAACTTCTCATGGAATTTCGAACCTAAAAACATCGGTAACGGCGCGCATTTACAGAAGTCATTTTCGTAGTTTAGGTCACCGAACAGACCCATTTCGCCTTACCGTTTTTTCTTTGCATAGTTCTTGCACCGCCATACATTCTGGCGTTTACAGAGAGTGCCGTCGAATTCCGACTCCTAATTAACGGAAGTCTTGTCCATACAATGACAGTTCCCAACTGCCTTCTCCTCTCATCTAAGGCAAGTCTACCATTTTCGCATCAAAGCAGGTGATAAGCCGCTCTTGTCGAAACGCACCGTACAGTTTCATTGCTTGATCTAGTCCCCGATTTGGGTTGAATAAATTAAGAGAAAACTACACCAAACCACCGCCTATTTCCTTCACAGCATGACATATATTTTGCTTCGAGTTCGGAAGCGCTACATCAAGGCGCTCAATGCCAGCCAACACATCTACTTTCCCCGCAGACATACGAAGCTCCACCGTGGCACTCACGACAACCGCCCTCCTCCCAACTTAGCGGGGGTCAAATTAGAAATAGGAAATCCAACACCAGTGAGTTTCGTTTCTTTTATCAGCGAATGTATCCGATTGACGCCCTGTCGTCTTTTTGCAGTTCACAGAACTCAGTCTTGAATAAACTTCCTTGTAAGTGGTTACTCGGAAATGTGGATAAGCAGATAAGACCCACACTTATTTCAGGTTCTCTTCAATCAATCGTATTTCTATTCGGTAATGAGAAGACTATTTTCGCCTGCCTGAGCCACTTGGATAAATTTTTTTTTTTTTGTAAAAAAGAAAATTAGCCCGTTTTAAGACCTGATCATGGACAAGACCGGTTTATAGTGGCGAAAACGTCAAGCAAAACTTTAGTGAGACAATGAGGATACGGTTAACTATTCAGGTGGAAGCAATGTTGCGTTTTCTCCAACGCAGCAAAGCGTTGCCCAGGATATCGCATGTCTCGCATCCTCAACCTGTCTGACCATGGGCTCTCCATTTACCAACTGTTCGTTGGATAACAGTGGAAGCCAACACCATTCCATCCGCTACATCTACTACATCTCTCTACAGACGCTAACTGGCCGACACTACGACGATAGTCCTGACAGAGGCAGCTGTGAGTCCCCCAACCCAGTTAAAGTGCTCGCGAAAATACGTGACCTCCGTGACACACCAGAAACACTGCAATTCTTTCCGCTTACTCCCTCTTGAGTGGCACCCATAAGCGCATTTTGTAAACATGAGTGCATGGGTGCTAATGAAATGGAGCAGCACGCCATTCCCTCTCGCATTTCCCATGGGTGACGAACCACCCACTCAAACATGTTTACAACTGATGAGCTTAACGGCATTTCTCCTTGTCCGCTTAGACCCGGCGGCAAAAGGTTTGTTAAAACGTTCTTCCTTAACAATGTGTCGTTAGTCAAACAATAACAGAATGCAGTCCCTGTTTGATGATTAAATTGGTCCTGAAACAAAACGAGGACGAGAAATGGTTAAAAACATGGTTCGTATCTACCTTAGGTCTGGGTTATCCAAGTTGAACAATGGTTAATGTTTAGCCTCAAAATTCGCTGTCACACTATGCGCATACACTTGCGTCAGAATTTCGACCATAGAGAGCCAAAATCATAGGGGATACAACCTTAGAAAAAATCCTTTAAGATCATTTGTCGAAGATGCTGGCAAGATTCAAAGATCTGTCCACCATTATTCTCTGCAAATGGAACTGATCAAATTGCACTGCCGTGTTTCAGAAGTCAAGCGAACTCGAACAATGAGAAAGTTAAGAACATTGACAAAGTTAACTAAAAAACAATGAAACAGTAAACCTCGAGATATCAAGTGAAGGCGGGCGAATAACATTCCACAGGCTTTAATTGGAGGTGAAAAGGCAACCTTGTAATTGTTGAGCCCACCTCCTTGACTATAGATGCCCTTTCTTTCAGTTTCGAGCGAATAGCACGTTTAAGGAAATCGGTCAATGAAGTTGATCTTTCGGGACCTGAATTAAGTGTTATTGCTAATATATCAAGAGGATATATGATGATATCATTAAAAACCTTTAAAATACCTCGTCTTGGTGAAGTTACTTTAACCAATTCCTTGCTAAAGCGAGTTTCAGGTTTGCAAAGCGTTTTAGATTTCATTGATTCGTCAACGGTTGATTCGCGACTACCAGAGTTTCTATCTTCTTCTCTCCATGAGATATAGCCTTCGGGAAGACCGGTTACGAAAAAATGACTGTAAAAAGCCATTTTTGATACCCCGAAGCCTGTGAAGTGGCCATTGAAAAATTCAAAATTGGACTTTTGGGATAGCTGTTGAAAAGCAGTTCGAGCTACAGATTAGAGACGTACGAAAAGGTATAGGTTCGGAGGATTCTTGGTTGATAGATCCACCTGTGGCATTGACAGAAGATTCCTGAATAACGAATTCCTCACTAAGTTTCCACGCCGAACGCAATCTACGAGGCCTTATAAAGGCCGCCTTCGGGGAGAGTAGGACAAATCTAGGCTTTGACAAAGCCCACACTCACAGCTTTTAATGACATTACCGTCTCAATTCATGAACACTAGGTGGTTTACTAGAGGATTCTGTGATTGTGTGCAAGTGGTTATCACTACTATACTGCATAAGGCAACAAACCAGTAGCTCGACTGTTGATAGGGCAGCTCTTCTCCTAAAATCTGGCAGTGTCGTCACTCGAGATTGAGTTCCGTAATTTAAAAAATCCCCAACATATGCACCTCTCGAATTCCAAAACTTGTGAGGTTGACTTAAAGCGGTTGATTAAGTGGACGGTATTGCTGTAGGGAACTAATTGAGCATAGGATTAATAGGAAACTTAACCGACGACAGGGGGTAATGAATAGTCCTTCATTATTAACCATGAAATCTACGAGTCAAGATAGATTAACAATGCACGATCTGAGTTTTGCCATGGCTCACTTGCATTGCACAAATTGATGATGACTAAACCACAGTCACCAAGGCAGTAAACGAAAAGCCAAACTAGTTGCCAAACTATTTCTACAGAAGTTATTAAAAGTATTCAAACCATTTAACGTTCAACCAAGAGAGCAAAAGTTACTAGAGGCAAGACGATAATGTCCCGTAAAATTACAAAGCAAATACGCATTAACATTGACCAGACGAATTTGGCAAATCCATTGCAGCAAGAGCAAAGATGGCTCAAGATTTTGACAAGCTTTTTAAAAATTAATAACTTTGCTGCTTGAGGTCAAGAGAGATGTTGATACCTACCTGTTCCGCAGGAGGAATGCTCACGTCCCCCATGATTGTCTTTTGACCTGATTTCCTCTCACCTCGATGTCCAAGGGGCACATTTTTTGATTCAGTTCCATCCTTATTCTTTGTGCTAGCAGATAATTGACGTGTCTTATAGTGCCTTTGTTTATTAAGCAAACTGTTCTTCGAAGCAGTTGTCTTCTTTGATAATTTGTGACCATAGGCTTCTATCCGTGTCTGGAGAACCGACGTAACAATAATTACTCTACTTAACACAAAGAGTACCAAAATTTGCATGACTTACATGAATAGGCAATTTTAAGGCAAATTCGGCTATTTCAATGGCTCTGTTCAATTGCAAGCATTTCTTGCTTTTCTGAAGGCAATGAAACCAGTTTCAGTGTGTAGAGCTCATCTTGTGCGTATAAGTTAGAGAATGATAACATGAATGAAATAGTATTGCGCACTGCAAAGTTGAGCACGCACTGGTGCAGATCCGAAGTTAATTGCATTTCACCTCGATGGTCATAATTGAGACAGACATTCCGTAAATGTAGACTAACGATAGGGGTGACAAATGAATTTGGGGCTGCTGATCAATGATTCGTTCGGGCATTTGGGTGTTTTGAGTACGTTAGCTCAAATAGGTATTCAGCATAATCACATAAATTTTACCGTCTAGCTAATCACCTACTTTGGGTTTTAGACACGTGTACGGTGTTTGAGGTGACAAATGTGTAGTGAAAATGTGAAATCTGCAATTAGCTAGAATACGCATGGCAAACAGGGGTCGCATTCTAGTAAATCCACCCAAGATTAAGCATCGAGGTGGCCACATATGCACCCAACTGTCCGTTCGCATCGCAATTCTCCAGGGCCCGTTATTCAGTGTGAGTGCCACAACAGATCTGACAAGTGTAAAGACAACCCAAATAACACATAGGCGCTTGCATCTGATCTATCAAGTAAGTAACCGTTACCGCCACAAGAAACGCCCGTGTAGAGATGATTTTATCATTAATGCAAAACAAATCAGAATTTGGCGCGTTAGAGATGAGTGTAATGTGGCTGATCGAAACGGTAAGAACCAATACAAAGCCAGGTTTTTCCATTTGATTCAAACCCTTATCCTTACTCCTAAGAAGGAACGCACAGGTTAATAAGTCACATTTTCGGATAATAAACCCAATTTTCATTTAAAATGGAAAGTACTCTGACCCACGTGCTTTTAAGTTATTTCAAAATCGAAATTTAATGGATAGTATCCACTGGAAATCAGTATGAAATGTCCAGCGAAACTGCTACGTTTGATGATGATTTAAACATGATCATAATAACGTCTCACTACCTATTTTTGAAAAAGACTATGACCCTTTGAAAATGAATTCGGTTCGATCATAGTTGGCAGACTTTATGAAAGCCATTTCTATTTCCATTATTACCCGAAGTGTGTCACAGACGATTCTCTCACGTACATACTTCCGCAAACGGAAAATGGGAAGGCGTTTGGCAGCCATGACGTGGGAACCAAGAGACACAACTCGGTAGTGAGTCGCCATGTGCGTCATTGGATCGTAGTCCGCGTACATTCCCCTCTTGTCAAAATCTACCATTGCCGGCCACCAGACTGAACCTTTGGAATTCGCACAAAATATTTTGTTGATGATCATCCTGGATGTCCACTAAAGAAGCTATTGGTAACGATATCAATTTTATCAAACAGCACATAATGACTACGCATCTGTCCTCTATACGATAAAATTGGATACTTTCACAATGCTTTTGGAGATTTAAAACTTTATGTTGAGAATTAAATTTGCGGCCTATCTTTTATTTACGTATTCAATGTCAATATTTACTGTTTTATGTAAAATGTCTGACAATCATAAGTCATTGAAAGGGTGTGAGAGTTGATCACTTGCCATCCCATTTTGGACGGGGAAAACATAAAACAGCCATGGCAAATTAACAATTTCGATGTTCAAACCTTTCTGAATTACACAAAGTATCTACTGAGTTCAACTGCTATCGAGAGTACATAGTCCAATTCATTTGTAGGAACTTGGAAAATTAGTAAACTACTTTAGAAATTACCTGCTAAGTAGTTACCAAGGCAAGCTTATATATTTGGTTAAGCAAGCTGAGAACAGAAGTACAATGGGGTACATTAGAATGCACTATAAAGTAAATATTTTGTCGGAGTAGTATGTGGCAAAAGTACGGCAACACGACTATCTCTATGGTACAAGTTGCTGAAATGAGAAAGTGTTCACAAAGGCGTTAATTCATTTCAAAGCCCATTCCGTTTTAGCGGGAAGATAAACATATTCGATGGTCATGCCATCTTTCAGACCGAGATCAGATAATCGTGTGTCATAATCTTGCATGTAATTTCCATCCACTGTGTTTTTTAACCAAAGAGGACCGGGATTTCCACTAATCTCCTTCCTCAAGGAATCTATTGCGTCCTGCACAGTAGCCTCATAAGGCATTGGAATGGAAAATATATTTTGTGCATCCCTGAAGTGCAGCACCATCGTAGTACTAGTGGGAATCTGTGACCCATTTTCATCGACTTCATTGTCAGTAGAACGAGCGTCTGCAACGTAGACAGTATCGCCATCACTGAGGCCGAGTTGTTCCAAACTCCTCGTCAAATCGGCTACGTGTGGAAGATCTTCTCTCAGAGTGAAACTTTGGTGCGTCGCAGGTATACCGGTTTTTTTCTCTATCTCCTCAGTGGCTTCACGGAGCGTGATCTTCTTCTCGAAAGAAAAACTAAACACCTTCCCATCACGTGTCACAACGTTTAGCCTTATATTCGGCACCACGTTGTTTTGCATAGACAATTTTTCCGAGGATTCCACTGTACTATTAAGAGGACTATTAACAAGACGCCTAGCGACGATAATACATGAATTCTTTTTGATACCATAGTGTTCTAAGTTCTCACTATCGTTCAGAATCCAATTGTCAAAGATAAGACGCATCTTGGAAGACTCCTCCGCCGATATATTTAGCTTCTCCTCAATAGCTGAGCGCAATTCGCTAACTTTGGAATCTAGACAGATTGACAGATGAATAGTTTTATCGGCAGAAACGGAGACTCGAAGGGATGCTGGTTTCTTATACCTTGCACGTAAGTAAAGAACGATAGGAACGACTATGTCAGGTTTAGGCAGCCGATAGTCGCCAAGAGGATGCGCATCTTCGAGAAAAATTCCACGGAAAGTGAGAACTTGATCCTCAGGTGACCAACCGATGTGTCGGCTAATGGCTTGCTTCAAATCAGCGATGGTAGTCGCCTCGGTGACATTAACATTAAAGAGTTTTTGTGAATTGTGCACAATTTTTACCTTCATGGTGGCACAACGATGAATAGTAAAACAGCCGGATGTGGTAGCTCTAGGTGAGGCTAGCTGGCAGTTATCGATGCTCTGAGAACTACACCCACACTCTGCGTAGAACTCAACCAATTGTGCATCAGGGTTGCTAAACTCATGCTTTTTCGCAGCATGACTAACTAATACAGAGGTAGAAGCAACGCGTCAGTGACTTTGGCTCATCTTTAAGCGACATTTCGTTTCTTCACCGAGATACGCCGGGTTCACCATGTTTTTTACCAAAGATTCCTCATTCTGTTGGTCATTCGCTCCTACAATTTCTGCAGTTGTAGGAGGGTTAAAATGCGCTAACAGATGCCTAAATGGAAGTCGAAGCACTGCTTGGAAATTCTCAGATAATATACAGTAAGCAGAATATTGGAATTGCCGATTTCCGACACTTAATTTGTTTTGGTGAATTCCGTCTAGAAAACACCTTAAAAGTTATAGTCATACCAAAACGGCTCCTTATTGCAAAAAACCAATATCTCCCTGGCGCATTTAACCCCGTGATTTAACGTTCCTATTGGTGACAGGAGTTGAGAACCATATCGGTAGAGTATAGTCCTTCTATATGCCCATAGGCAATATATCTTCATACAAGCATGGAGTATCACGGTCCTAGGGAGGACTGGGGACACCGCAGCAGGCATTGGATTTGTCATAAACTCCCAAAAACTGAAGACTACTCAATGAGTGACCTGGTTTCTTAATGACGCATTCAGTTTGTGACCGTAAGTTTTAAGCGAAACAAAACAATGCTTTCAAATGAGCACGTATAAAAAGGAAGTTCCAAGACAGGCTAACAGATTTGCACAAATGGATAATTTTGGCGTCGATGGCATTGACCATTACTCTACTCATATACACAGGTTGCCTGACCAGGAAACCCATTGTGAACGCCTATAAAGTGCAGTGTTTAAAAAGTGGTAGGTAATGAAAGCCTTGTAACATAAATCTAAGCACTCTTTCAAGGGGTGCTTTAAACCCAATCAGCATCACTTTGATGTCCATGCATTCATTTGTTTCCAAGTATTCTTTTCTAGATTACACATTTTGAGGTGCTGACTTGCTTGTGGGACTAAAAAGGCGATAATACTCTAGGCAGCAACTCTCCCTGGAGGCTCATAAGCCTTCTAATTTGATGAAAACTGTTAAAGGCTCGAGGAGTAAGAATAAAGATTGCAAGTGCTTGTCAAATATGCAGGACCTCGACTAGCTTTAATTTGGAGTTTATTAATATGCATTTTAAGCGAGCATTAAAATATTGTAAAGGGTGAAACAAGGAAGAGAGGGTCGGTATACGATTAGATCTATTCCACCGGTACAAAGGTAGTCTTTGCTTCAGTAGATCAGATTTCACTTCTACAGTAATGATGACTGATAGAAATCAATTCTCGGCTCAAAGCCACTGGCATTCAATGAACATCAACAACCATACAAGAGACTCGATGATTGCGCAGTCATGAAGTTTGAGCTTACTCGTGCGTATTCATGCGAGCTAATACTGAGCAACTCGCTGGTTGTTATTATTGGACCACGGTGCAAACTCCAAATAGCAGTAAAAGTGCCCTACGAAGTGCAAGGCGTTCTCAGCAATTACAAGAACAACTGAATCCGATCATCAAATCGAATGACTTCATCAAAAATCATTCGTTAAAAATGGATAATTCTGACCTTTTACAATGGTATCCATAATAATTGTTCTCACCTATCTTCGACAAGCCTGTGAAAAACTCAAGGATTGCCAGTACCAACGTCACTTTGTTACGCGCTTCATCACCAGGGTTGATGATTACAATATTTGTGAACAATATTACCGACGCATTGTAATTAATACCAGAGATGTGTCACGGTGAACTTAGTTGAGAGGCCAGTAAAAATGCTACCAAAAGGATAAATTCTTTGCTCTCTTTCGGGCGTTCATCACAAAGCCACACTGATTCACACCA